AATGCTGTTTTAATCTTTGATCACATTTACTGACAGCAGTATTTAATACAGTTTTGGAGGAAATAAAAACACTGTACATTTTATTTAAACATTTTCTCTTACAATAATAAGAACTATGATATTAAAAAAATATCATGTAAGTGTTTCCCCCTATAGCACAAACAGCTTTTAAATATTTCTTCTTTAAATTATTTTTAATGGGGATTAAGTTAGGGATACAAATGTAAAAATAAGAGACAAATGTCACAAATGTCATATCTATTATTCAATGTACAAAACTCATACACCTTTCTATAAATTGATTTTTTTATAGAATATTTATATTGCTGAAAATTCAGACATAAGAAACACTTATTTATTTCCTTGGTTTTAATGTTCACCAAAAGAAGTTTGGTAATTAAAAGTAACTTTTTAATAATAATATTAACCCCCCCCCCCCCTTAGGTTTGACAAGGTATTATAAGGTATTATAATAGCGTGTCCGCCTTGAATGTTCGTTGCAAATGAAACATATCAGCTTAAACAAATTCTGGGGAGAACCCTGCACGTGTTTGAATAGTAATCCCAACATCTTTCAAATTCGCGGACATGAGCAAGGCTACTTCTAGTATTAATGCATTGACAGACAAGCATGGTTTGTACATCTCGGAAACTAATTCGAATATAGGAAAAAACTACATACACGTACACCTACAGCCAACTAGCTATACACATTAGGTTATAAGTTATTGTGTTTGTCCTTAAATACAATTGTAAAAGCTTGAATTTGATCAAAGCTATTTTGTTGACACTGTTTTTAGTCAAGTATAGAAAATACTTTATCTTTGTGTTGGATCTGCCCAGTTTGTCCATCACGTTTTTTTTTAATATTTCAAAATAAGCACCTTTTAAATGGTCTGTGCTAATATTTAGAAGGAATAATTTCCAAAAAAATATTATAACAAACAAAATCAATGTACTTTGTGCATGCACAATCTAACACTTCCCTCATAGGAGATGAAATTGTATGAAATCAACATGTAGAACATTTTTTTTGAATGTCAGATTCAAAAATAAGATTTACATTTGAGCTTTTGAATTATCAGTGTTTATACAGAGGCTTAAGAATAATTTACCCAAAATATACTACATGTGTAATAATGTAGTGGAACTTGACTGAGTCAACAGTCAGCAACCAGATAGCTTAATTGGTAGAGTGTCGGCTAGAGTTCAGAGGGTCCTGTGTTCGAACCCTGAAAATAAGATTTATATTTACTTCACTGTTACACAGGCCATATTTTATCATTAAAATGATTCAAGTTTCCCTTCAGATTAACATTAGATCATTTTATCTTACTAAAATGGTCACCTGCTGCACATGGGTCCTTATCCATAAATAGGTTTGAAATTTGAACTATTTCCGTTGATCTCCTATTTAAACTCTGCCTAAAATGTCGTTAAATTATCAAATTTGAATTGTGGGGCATGTTGGAAACTTTGTCACTCTTCCAATATAAGTCAGACGTCTAAATATGGGTGTCATGACCCTATATGAAAATTGTAGTAAACATGGCTGCATCAGTACTCAATCTTTATTTGGCCATGCAGGCCATATATTAGTGTTTGGATGATTGTCGCTAATAGTCGAAAACTATCGCTCAGGTGTGACGTCGGCGACAATTGAATGAAAACTTGTCACTATCTATAGTTCGAAAATATTCATCACGGTAATTAATACGAAGGAACTATGGGAAGGGAGATCACTCTCGCTGTCGCCTCATGGTCATGATTAAAAATGGCAGCCACCGCTGCTATTAGTAATGACGAGGAATTGCAATTGTATCCCTATCCAGGGACAGTTTAATCAGCCGTATGGAAATAGTTCATGTTCCGAAAAAAAAGAAAATTCGGTGGGACCCGCAATAAAATATAATTTAGACATGCCAACTGTCATTTGTAGGCTATGCAAGAAAAGCTACACCAACAAAGGTAAATACGATATTAATTACACTGATACAGTATAGTATTTAAAAGCATTTCAAAATCAAATTTTTCTGAATGGCGAAGTATTTTGAAATAGTTGATTGATAAACAAAACTAATGACAAATTTCTTTGANCCCCTACCCCCTAAAGATGAAGGACATTGTCGTTAGCTGATTGACTGACTGTTGAAAATCGACAAATGAAATTATTTTTTAACACTTTGTAGTTTGTATTTTCTGTGATATTTTTACTCTCAATGTATGTTAAAATGACTGACGTAGTTTCAAGGTCACAGGGGTCTTAGTAAACATGTTAAAAGCTTCAAACAACAATATCCTAAGAACCATTTGGACAAGACTCATGATACTTGAGTTTGTGGTCAAAGGTCAACTTAGTTCATAAGTGCTAGTTGGGGGATATATGTCAACATGGGTTAAAAAACATAAATAATATTTTTCTCAAGTTCCATAAAGCTCAGGGTCATGATATTTGGTCAGCTGGTACCTGGGATAGAGTGCTATAAATTTTCCACGATAAAATGGCCTTGACCTAGTTTCCAGGTCACAGGGGTCTAACATGTTAAAAGCTTCAAACAACAATATCCTAAGACCATTTGGACAAGAGTCATGATACTTGAGTTTGTGGTCAAAGGTCAACTTTGTTCATAAGTGCTAGTTGGGGGATAAATGTCAACATGGGTTGAAAAAACTTAAATAATCTTTTTCTAAAGTTCCATAAAGCCAAGGGTCATGATATTTGGTCAGCAGGTACCTGGGATAGAATGCTAAAACATTTCCACGATGAAATGGCCTTGACCTAGTATCAAGGTCACAGGGTTCATATATATGTTAAAAAATTCAAACAATAATATCCTGATCATGAGAAGCCTTTAGACTAGAGTCGTGATACTTGAGTGTGTGATGTAGACCAGCTGTTCGAATCTCTTTCTATATTAGAGTAATGAGGTCAAATGTCAGCTTAAAGTGCTAGCTAGAGTCAAAGGTCAACGTTGGTTAAAAGTTTTAAAATTTCAAATTTCAAACAACAATATCTTAAGAACCGTTTAAGAGATATTAAAATGTTTTGTGTTCTAGTTACCAAATTTGGTCTGAAGTTACCTATATGTCAGTTTCATGTAACAAAAGAAACAGGTGAGTGATAAAGGCCCTCTGGACCTCTTGTTGTTATTAGTAAAGATTCATTATTTCAAAAATAATGCAATATTTTGATAACATTATACATCACTTATATGATCATTGAGGCGCGAGTTCTATGTAATCTTACTGTTTAGCACTTTCCATTAGTTAGCACAGGACTGCTTTGTAGCTCTGACGACGCAATATATAAAAAAAAGTATCATCTTCAGAAGCTATGACAGACAAGCTTGGTTTTACCATGGATTTTAGATAAAAATTTCTGTGGTTTTATGCATATCAAACACGAATATGGTTATTTCTGTTAAAAAATTGTCTGTTCGGCGCTTTCACAGTAATGAATGGTCCCTATAGGAAGTACTAACAAACATCTCACCAACCATCGTGATTATGAGTTTAAGGCCTGACCAAAACAAAAATTATGCTTGTTTCAGGTAACATGCCAGAAAAATACCAGGTATGTCGGTTTGCAAATTATGGATTTTAATTTTGTAAGCTCACCTGCCCGAAGGTATTTGGCTGAACGCTTTGTTGGTAAAGAGCCAAACAAAGTTTGAGGATGAAAATGACCTTTACCTACTTTCAAGGTCACAGGGGTCAAATGTGTCAAACACTAGAAACAACTTCTGAAAAAGAACTGAAAGGTACAAAATCTTAATATTTGGCTGATAGCTTCTTTTGGTGGAGCTCGACAAATTTTGAGAACGAAAATGACCTTGACCTGCTTTCAATGTCATATGGGATTAATATGTCAAACACATCAAATGACTTGTTCTGAATAATGGACAGGCCTAGAGTCATGATATTTGGATGAAAGGTTAAATCGTAAGAGCCTGACATAGTTTGAGAACTGAAATGACTTTGACCTTCTTTCAAGGTCACAGGGTTCAAATGCGTCAAACGCTTCAAACAAATTCTTTTGAAGAACTGGAAGGAATAGAATCTTCATATTTGGCTGATATATAGCTTCTTTTGGTGGAGCCCAACAAATTCTGAGAATTTAAATTACTTTGATTTATTACATACTTACTAATAAATACGTTTTTTTTGTATATGCGATACGACACAATTGCTCTAACCCATATCAGCCCTCGCCGTATCACACCCCAAAACCCGTATCAGCCCCCGCCGTATCACACCCCAAAACCCATATCAGCCCGCAAAACCCATATCACACCCCATTTGGAAAAAATCGTTTTTCAATATTTCAAAAATGAAAATAAATCATGAGATGGTAGTTTTTATTAGTAAGTATGTAATAAACAGAATAAAACACGCCTTTTTCCATATCACACCCAGTATCAACCCGCGACCAATATCGGCCCTTGGGTTGATATTGCAGTCTCGGGTTGATACTGGGTGTGATATGAAAAAAGGCATGTATTATTCTCCATTTACATCCTCTGGCAAAGGGAACGCAATTAAATATAAACGAAGAGAGTGCCAAGTCCACCCCACGGGTCAGAAGGGTGTGGCCCAACGAGGGAGTATAGATAAATGTTTAAAATCCCTCTTCTTTAGTGGGATTTGAGGTTTTTAAAAAAAAGTTGTGTAGAACATCCTTGGGCAAATGTAGGGTGTGCCTTCCCTGAGGGCATCGGGGTGGGACCCAATAGGGGAACTTGATATAGATATTGAATATAAAGCACTTCTTTTTAGCTTTGAGTGGAGGCATTTAAGCCAAATTTCATGTAGAGCGTCCTCGGCCAAAGGGGACTCATGTTGTGTAAATGGATGGTTGCTTTTTGGAGCATACTAGTAAAATTTACTTCTCCTCTGGAACCATTAGATATATGGCTATCGACTATATTTAAATTTGGTTGGAAACATTCTCAAGTGGTTTGGCATTGGACAGTAGGAAGGGCTGACCCCAATGGGGTTGACCATATATACATTACTGAGTATAAAGGGAATATATATACACGTATGTTACCAGGATGGACCTGGTGTCTTGCCCCAACCTCGAAGAATAAGTCCCTTTATATGTCTTAGCTTTCAAATGTTATTAATCGTCACCATCAATGCAATTGCTATCCTCAAAGAGACAATAAGACACTCAGATTACCAGGAATGACCCGCGGTACTCTTGTTGGTTAAGGTTTCGGTCAAATATCAATTGAATAATCACATGCTTATCTTTTTTTTTTCGTGTTACAGTTGCACCAAGCTGACCATCAAAATGGCTGAAGTCCCGGAACTAGACTTACACTTACTGGAGTGTCCAATCTGTCTGGAGCGACTTCGGCATCCTAAAACCTTACCCTGTCTCCACTCCCTCTGTCAGGATTGCCTCGGGACCTACATCACTAAGGAGTTGTCTGGTAAGATGGCTTCGGCGACATCCTTTCCGTGTCCAATTTGTAGAGGGATGGCCACGCCTGTCAATCAAGCGGACACCAAGGAAAACTGGGCTAAACAGTTTCCAACTAATGGTATGATCCAAGAACTTATCAAGCTTAAGGAACAGTCGTCTGGACCACTGTATTGCACACCATGTCAAACAAAAGGAAATCTGTCCAATCCTGCCAAGTTCTGGTGCAAGAAAATTGAATCTGGTTTCTGTGAGACTTGTAAAGTTGACCACCACGATATCGTACATATTGGATGTGATATATTAGATATTACCAGGCACGACAGCAATAGACCAAAACAGAACCCAGGTGTGCCTCACTGTGACCAACACGACGAGAATATGGTTTGGTACTGTGAGGATCACAAGCTTCTCGGTTGTAACATATGCGTTTTAAAAGACCACAGACGTTGTGAAGCAGTGACAACAGCGACGGAATACATTCTGAAGCTAAAAGCAGGATCACAACTGACAGATATGCAGGCACAACTGAAGAAAGAAGCAGAGGTCATGAACTCTTTAGTGAAGGACTTCGACGAACAGCTCCGAGTCATGGTAAAGAACCAGGAAATCGCTCTACAGAGTATTACAGATCTACGCCATAGGGTCAGCAAACGGCTTGACGAGCTTCAGAAGGACTACACAGACAACTTAATAACGTTGTTCAAAGACGAAAAGGGGAAATTAGACGACTCCTTACGGCAATGCGAACGTCTGAAGAACAGTATGCTTAATACCCTTAAGTCGTCCATCAAAGCTACAAACGGAAACGATACCACTGAAACGATAGTGTTGTATCAGAGAGGACTGGCGGAAGTGGAGTCGTGTAAGGCCCTGGTCATGGATTTGAACGAATCTTTCGCGTCCGTCAATATTCAGCATCAGACCGAACCAGGACTTGCAACCTTTGGTAATGACGTCATTGGGGATATCGTCATTAAGAAACCACCACGACGTTTTCCTGAGAGTTTTGGTTACCTACCTTCACAAATGTCCGAGCGTCGCGTGAGAGAAGTACAACAGTTTGATATAAAAACTACATCAGATGAGGACGATTGTGATGCAGCTGGCGTTGTGTACCTTCCGTATAATCAAATAATAATAAGTGATCTCAAAAACGAAAAGCTGAAGCTGTTTACAGATAAAGGACAGTACCTTGATGAGTTGACCATTAAAGGCACTCCTTGGGATATGTGTTTTGTGGACGACAAGACAGTGGCTGTAGCAGTTAGCAATCCTGGTGGTGTCCATGTCGTGAAAGTCGAAAACGCAAAACTATCACTTTTTTCCGAGATCTGTTTGGCAGATGATAAAGGCTGCCAGGGTATAACCCATATCAGCGGAAGATTTGTCGTTTCTACGTACACAGAAGAAGCTGACACAGAGGAAGCGGACACAGTAGAAGCTGAAGTGGACAGTGTGACAGAGGACGGCACAGAGCTGTACAGTGTGACACAGGACGGCAACGCTAACCTGTTACATCAGTATAGTGGCAAGTGTTATTTCGTCTCACATGACCCAATAAATGAAGACATACTGGTCAGTTGTCACACTTACACTGAGGATGAACCTGTGCTTTACAGACTGTCGGCTGACAAACATAGCAAGAATATGATGAAAGTCGGTCTCGTGAGTAATGCTGCTGGCCTAAGCGTTGATAGAGAGGGCAACGTCTACTTGTGTGGTTATGGTACAAGCAACATCGTGCAGATGTCTAGAGACGGGAAACACGTCAGGGAACTGCTGACGTCATCTGACGGAATAAACCGTCCATTTGCAATAGCTGTTTGTGGTGACATGTTTGTACTCACTAAGGAAGATACTAATTACGTCCGTTTGTTTCAGCTTTATTAAGCTAACTACAACTCGTCTCATTTATGTACAGATATATTCACGTATCAGTAATATTATGAAACTATTCACGATGAAACACTATATCAAAACCCAGGGCTTCTCGTTGATTTTATAAACATATTTTATTGCCGATATAATTAGTACATGTAATGGGATTGGACACAAGTTGAACAACTTATACGAAGCCATTTCCCTACAATTTTACTTTTATTTTTAACAACATTTCAAGATGGCAAAACTACATATGATTAACTACGTATTATATAATAGATCCACTCATGAACTGTTCCTTCGAGGATTTAACCACCAGTCGCTCACACACGCACCCACATAAGTGTGGACATGAGAGAGAGAGAGAGAGAGAGAGATTGGTCAGCTTTTCCTATATGTCACAATCAAGAAGCTAACCGCGAGCATAATATTTTGTTATGACATATTTTAAGGGATGCGGAGAAGCTACGTGCGTCGAGTACGGAACCAATTAATTTCGAAGATGATTCTGTATTTAAATTCCAGTAGAGTGACACGTTACCAAGGATAGACTGTTCTGTTGTTTACCGTATCAATGGTTGGAATAATGTACGTAAAACCTATATTGAAGACTTTGTGAATATATAGTGTTTTTATCTATAAACACCAGGCATTATGTGCTTATATAATGATTACAAAACATTTTTTCAGTATGGTTAAATCAAAACTTCTTGCTATGAACTTGTACACGGTTGTCACTTAATTTCTTTGCTTGGTATGTTTTGTACTAATATCCAGAAATTGTATAATATTGTCTTTGTTTGAAATTTTGATTACATAATACTAAAGCTGTTTGAAAAATCACATCTTGTACTGTATCAGGTAAATAAACAAAAATCATTTGTACATCATTTATGCTTTGCTTTACAAGTACATTTACTCTTAATTGATACTTTTGTATTTTGTTTTGAACATACGGTCATCAGGTGATTGGCTGTTTAAATCGCGTAGTCCATTCTTCGTGTCGCCTTTTCTCAAAAAGGTAACTCATACATGTATCTCAAATTCCATAAATGAAAATCGACAGACGGCTTTATGACTTTCGTGGGTTTAAGTTTGTTAGCGGCATTTCTCAGAAGGTGCTTTGACTGAATGAAAAACTAAGATGTCCGACAGGCAGCTATCTTGAATTTTTAGAATATAGTTAATTAGTGCTGTTTCTCCGAAAGGTGATGTAGGGATATTACTCAAATTTCACATGAAAAGTTCCCTTTGGTCCATAGATACGCATATCAAATATTGAGACTGATCACACAAAGATTGCGGACAAGGCAGCCTTCTTGAATTTATTTTGAGAGTTTAAGATTGTTAGAGCTATTTCGCAAGAAGTGCATGAGGGATCTTTCTCAAATTTGATATGAAGGTTCCTCAATTTCCCTTATAATGCATATTGAATATTGAGACTGATAAGATAACCAAGATAGCCGACAGGAGACCATCCTTAATTTTAAGAGTTAAAGGTTGTTACATTGTAGCTCTACTACTCAGTATGAGCTAGAAGGATCTTTCTCAAATTTCACATGAAGATTTCATATGGTGCCTAGTTATGTATATTATTAATTGAGACTGATAGGAAAATAAAGATGGCCGACACATGGCCATCTTGAGGTTTGAGAGCTATAGGTTGTTAACGCTTATCCTCTGAGAGTACTCTGAGATTACTGGTTGGATTTTTCTTCAATTCCATATGAGGGTTCCCCATGGTCCCTAGTTAGGCTTATTTATTTCGGGACTGTTAGAAAAATCAGGATGGACACCAGACAGCAATCTTGGATTTTGACAGTTCAATTTTGTTATCACAATTTTATATGTAAAATACCCCAGGCTCTAATGAGAATTCTTCTGTCAATAACAGAACTTCGAATTATTTAAGATTTACAAATGTTCTAGCATTTTGCTATTGACATTTGTCATTGTATGTACAGTAGTATATTATATGATGAAAGACACAAATGATAAGTTGTTTAAAAGCAATAGCACCGTTTGTACCCCTTATATATATAGCAGGTTTGTCATACATAAATATATCAATGTAATAAAATATTCTCAAGCAGAATACCAGTCCTAAAACAACGCTTTGGAATCGCTATAAATATTGAATCTGTCACATCTATAGAACATATCTCAAATCACTTAATTTTTGCGAATTATTACACTCACGGGTATTATAGGAATTACTTATTCGCGAGCATCATCTTCGGTGACAATCTGATTAAAACCAGATCTTTGATTCCACTCCCGGTACTCTACGTTGACTGGTACCTAGAGTATCGGGAGTGGAATCAGGGATAAGGTTTTTATCAGATTGTGTGTGTTCGAATTGAACACGACATTAAACACATACATCATGTTTTACCTGCGCCCGTAGTCATGAAACCGTTCTCATGTTTAAGCATGGATGATATGCTCAAACCCAATTTTTTGTTTCAGTTATAGATTAACAAAATAATATTATTTTTAAATGTTTTGGAAAACTTTTGAATAGACTTAAAGCCGGAAATGGTTTTTACGGAGGTATTCATAACACTTGCCGTATTGAGATCACTTGTCGAACGTTACGTTAGTGATTTCTTTCAAGGGGAAGTACGAAATTTGCGACGTCTTTTGGTAACCGTCTTTACAGAAAATGCTAGAGAGACAACAATTGTAGCACTTCGTTCATAGTATATGTAAGAAATACTAACTTATTCAAATATCCTGATAATGTTGTTAACATTTCAGTTTACACTATTTTCAATACCAATAAGAATATTAACTTGAAAATCTCTATACTATATTCCTATACATCGAATTTTGAACATTCATCACATCTTATAAAACTCACTTTTCATCCAAACATTTCGAAACCTCACTGATGTAGTCAGCATTCACTGAAGTTGTGCAGCTTCACTTATTGTTTTTATTCAAACATTTTCAAACCAAGCGGCGCCGGGTTTTGATCTGTAAACACCTTGTCCACTTCCAGTGCCTTCCCATGCGTGAAAGCTTTCTGGGAAATTAAGACCGCATACTGTATACAAAAATATGATAGTTAACCTTACGGTATCTGTATTTATTTAAGCATTGAACATGTTGTTTGCTTGCAAAGCTGTGTCATTCAAATAGATCATAAATACCATACAAAAACAGTTCAATACTTATATTTACGTTTTCTTTGCCTCTTATGTTCTTTTTTAACTTAAAATTTATATTTAAAATAAAAAATGCCCGCCTTATCGACAGTCCACACAATTTCGTTTAATAATTTGAACAGCGTATTGTCGTGTGCTGATTGGCAAACAAAGTAGTACTTTGGAATTTTAACAAACACTTCAATTTTATTCCACAATTCAGTTTCAATACAATTGCGAATGATATGTCTATAGGTCGATTTAAGTTTATCAATAGAACTCTGAGCTGAAAGTTAGATTTGAAATTGTTTCGATTTTTCTCCGGAACAAATTTCGCGCATGGACAAATACAGTGAACACGTTAAATCCGACCTTGCCCTCCACGAGGGAGTTATTTTTGGAAGTTAATTCGAACTTTTCTCTTTGCTTATTTTGTGAAGAATCCTTGCATGAATGTATTTGTTAATTGTATGGGAACCAGACAACAGTCAGTAGATTCTATAACAGACTCGTTATTTGACATGTCGTCAGAAACTGAGAAACCGTGAATGCGAGACGCGTGAAACTGATAGCGTTTGAAGTGAGTGATCTTGCGATGGAGCACAGGTTCGTTACAAATGTCCGAAATGTTTATGTGTGCTATGACTGATATCAGTAGGTATGTAACATATGTGTCAGTAGGTCTATAGAATATGCGTATTTCAGACATTTGTAAGGAACCCCTGTTGATCAGTGCAGTTTAACAGACGATATTTCTGATGAATTGTCGGCATTGGTGATTTTAACCGATGAGCATTTTGTACGATATTGCAGACCTTGGTCTAATTGTTTCCGTTGTAATAAAAGTGTTTTTTATTTTATTTTTTTATTTTGCACATAAATTTACAATGACATTGTCAAATCTCACAATGCCCAGTGATATTTCAGCAGCGTCATGCTTATTTATATTGGATATTGTAGTTCCGATCAGTGTTGTATTAATACGCCAAGAATTGTGTCTTGTGGTGCATGGTAATTTAAGTCCCATCAACGACACATCTTTCAAAGAAGCTATATAGTGACAATGCCATGCATATGTAAATATTACATTTTACTAGTGAACTATCATGTTTGCACCATTTCATTAAAACATATCTCTAATATAGTGAAGATATACGAAATATTATATCTTCATATGTGAAAAAGTCACTTTTAGTATTGTCTAATCTGACATTCTATTCTCTGTGCAGATTTTCAGTTTTAAGTTTAGATGAAGTGCCGACAGAATAAGTGGTTGTGTTGTCTACCTTTGCAACATACATTATTGTTTTTACAAAACTACACAATTGACATCATTTTTGTCTGGAAATCTTACCAGATAATAGCAACAAACGGCAAAATTGCAGTGAAAATCCATTAAAAATGGCGCTCTATATGTTGTGAAGCGTGACGTCATTATAACTTGGCGTCAATAAATACGCTACACATCCTCGCACTTTTCTGATGTAGTGATATTAGCGTCGCGTGAAATAAGAAATATGCTAGAAATAGAAAAGTTCATGGTTTTCCCGTTCAATACGACATATCTATTTCAATTGTATGAAACAAATATGTGATAACAAAAAAAAACAGCATTGTGACAAAATGTGTCTTCGTAGCAGTCTCGAGATTTTACCGATGTTAAATGTATATATTGATGATTCAATGTGACAAAATAGTCACAAAACTATGTCACTCATCTAGCTGATACATGCTACAATAACGGGGACCTGTCCGTGTGACGTAGTTCGTACCATGTACTTACTATTAGTTCACTAAAAACTAACAATGCGGGTTGTTGAGAATCACCAATGGTTCAACAATTTTTACACTTGTGTACCAAATTCAAGTAGACCTCACAAATATAGTTACCAAACCCAGAGGTTTTAATACATTTTTGCCCTTTCTAAAAATTAAAAAATATGTTGTCCAGACGATTCCTCCTTAACTTGTAGGCCAATTTCAACGAAACTTGATGCCTATGAAAAGTACCCCATGATATTGTGCATCTGGAAATTACTTTTTTTTCATTTTTATACTTTTTATGGAATTATGGTCCTTCACTTTAATGTTTTGTCTCACCTATATCTATGGACTCGATACTCACTACCATAGTCTTATACAGGTGAACATTGCAAATGATTTGTTTTTAAACTTCAAAACAAAGTGAGGAACGGGATGCATTAGTTAGCCAGTGGCTTACAGTTCAAGTTGTAAAATAAATAAAGTTTAAAGGAGAAACATTGAGAGGTTTTGACCGGAATTATGAGGGAAAGATAAGGGCGGGTGTGGTAGCAGGGTTATACAGTCAAAATCGTTTCCTTCGTTTCAGAACGAGTCGGTTGACCCATATTTTTACCATATTCTCTTAAGTATTGACATTGTCATTATTTTATCCAAACCTCTAATACACTCAACAAATTTTCGAATCAACGTGAATGTATACCTGCAGACATAAACGCATCTTTTGGAACGGTCACGTAAATGCACAATATCTTCAGTTACATATTATAGATTAGATACATGTATCAGTGTAAACATAGTACATAACGATCTATTGTAGTTTCTATAAAACGATTAACGCAAAAGTTTGTTCTTTAACTGTTTTATTTTGACGAGGAGCCTGAAATCATAACGACCATTTTGGTTACACGAGTTACCTCCCTTCCATCGATTGTATATTTGTTTATGATCTAAGGAATAATAGCCCAATTCTATCGATGCACATAATCGTGTTTACTCTGCCCACTGGGAATCCCGTACGCATTATTCGCCTGAACTTATAAATTAGAAATAAAGTTTTTATAACAGGAACTATACAGTATATAGTTTGCTTCAACTGGAGTACGAACCGCCGCTCTACCTATTTAGCTGAAGGGAAATTCCCTCTAGTGCAAAGCTGGAAGGCAACCGTA